TGAGGGAACACTGCAGGTAATAATGTCCTGAGAGCGCACTCCGTAGCATACATGGGTCCTAAATCTATGATATGCCACAAAAGGTCACCCATGTGGTCCATGTTCCTCAGGTCCAGAACTCCTGGTTTTATGAGGTCAGATCCACAAACTCAGTGTCTTCCTTTAGATCACTCCAATTTGACCATCAATTCTTCTTCTTCTTCTTTCAGCTTTTCCCTCTTCAGGGATCTCCACAGCGAGTCATCCTCCTCCATCTCACTCTGTCTTCACTCCAACTACCTCCATCTCCTCTCTAACTGCATCCATATATCTCCTCTTTGTCTTTTTCCTGGCAGCTGCATTTCTAACATCCTTCTACCAATATACCCATAGTGCCTCCTCTGGACATGTCCAATCCATCTCAGTCTGGTCTCTAACTTTATCTCCCAGTTGTTCAACCTGTGCTGTACCTCTGATGATCTCATTCCTAATCTTCTCCATCCTTGTCACTCCTAAGGGGAACCTCAACATCTTCATTTCTGCCACTTCCAGTTTTTCCTCCTGTCGTTTTGACCATTGATTGATGGGTATTTATTGGTATTCCTATGCTTCATAGTCATACACATATTTGTGTTGATACAAGTTCCAACAAAGAGCTTATCAGTCAAAGTACATGTGTAATTTACGTTGTGACGGTTCTAAATTTGGGCCAACGTGCGCTTTGGTGAAGAAACAAACAAGTATTTTCTTACAGTTTTGTGTCTCCAACCAATCCCCACCAGTTTCAGTCCAGTGAGGTCACAATCTCTGTTTTCACTGAAAAAGTTACAGAATATTTATGGTAAACTGTAAAACGTTCCAAAACATTAGGTGTAATGTTTCTCCTACTTCCCCCAACTCTTGGATCTATTGTCCCCCACTCCTAAAATGTGGACGCTAATGGAACAACCAGATTCAAGATGGCTGCCACATCCGAGCGACCTTAGCAAACACAAAAGTGCCTGCAGATCAGTCCATTTTATAGATACTGAGCTAGAATTTGTTGTGGTAGCAGCGGAGAGTCATCCTTAAAACACACTAACAGATCGAACAAGATCTTTATCCAAAACGTTGGCGTTCACTAGTTGGAGTCGAGTGTGTCTGTTAGCAAAATATTTCCACTGACAAACACTGAACAACTGACAGGAGTCTAATGAATGCACAGTTGTGTGCATCCACAACCGATTACCTTTAGGAGTCAGTCTGATGCAAGATGGCTGCTACACCTACTCCACCTTCAGAAACACGAACATGCTTGAACGCAGCTCATGGCTATTCTCAACACAGACGCTCAGCGTTAACAGATTATTCAAGGTTTTGCAACACTGCCTGAGATTAATTCCAGTATTATTTTAAAGATTTAACCTAAATGCTTCATTGTATGTTAGCATTAGATTATCACAGTTTTAAACTCTGACATGAAAGTGACATACATGCATACAATGCATGACGTAGTTCCAGGATTGAGCCGCTCGAGGTGGCTGCATGTTGGAGTAACTCCCTTACTTTCATTCTGAGATTTTGCTTTTGTAAACTTTAATTACTCTTTTTCTGGATGTAATTCATATTTTTTGCTGCTGGAAGGATTTTTACTGAAACCTTTTTTACTTTTGGATATTTGCTACAATGCGTAACCATGACAACACAGTGTTTTTCTACAACTGGGAGCTGCTGATTAACATCTTAAAAGCACAAATATGACCTCAACTACAGCCCCAAATCCCAAATGAGTTGAAAAGGAGGTGCCGTGAATGCATTACCGTCTACCTGGAGGCGGTGCTCAAGTGCCTGACTGCCGAGATCTTGGAGGTAGCAGGAAATGGGAGGTCCAAGATCGTCCCCCAGCACCTGCAGTTAAGTCCACGCCGACGAGGGGCTCGACAGGCTGCTGGGAGAAATGGCCATCGCTCGGGGAGGAGTTCTGCTCGGCATTCAGGTGGCCCTGCTGCCCAAGAGGACTCAGAGGTCTGCTGGGTCTGGGTGGACAGATCAGCATCTGCAGCCAGTTTCTTTGGATCCACTGTGGGATGGACTGCTACAAGAGATCCTTCCTGCCCAAAGCCATCAGCATCAAGAATAACTCTAATGAAACCAAGATGAGCTACAACAACAATTAATTTCCCTTTGGGATTAATAAAGTATTTTTGAACTGAATTGAAAAGAGAAGGGAGATTTGCTTTTTGTTTCAAGGAATGTGAGACCTTTCTGTATTAATCTAGCTCAACTGTAAAATGTCCGTAGAATTATTCATGCTGTATGGTAAAAAAAATAAAAGGTTTCTAGCCCATAAAGTCAAAAAACTGCATTAAATCAGATTAGATACAAATCAAAGATGGTGCCAAACATAAAAACACCGACCTGTTGAACCCTTGATGTGATACAGGCTTCACGGAGAGAGCGCAGACCTTTTCTGAACATCTCTGAGATGCATTTCATCCTTCAGGGAGTTAAAACCCCGTCAGAGTTTTATTTAACAGGCCATTAATGCAGGATCTCTGAGGCAGAACATACACCAGCAGCAGTTCTGACATGTAAAGAAAGATCAACTAACTGTCCATTATTGTCTCGGACTGGTGGTCTTCTTCATCTTGTGCCTTGTCTTCCAACACAAACACCTGTTGAACCATGTGTGATCATGGACAGTCACCTAAACATCTCAAACATCCATCCATTATCTTTTACCCGCTTCTTCCATTTGGGGTCACGGGGGTCGCCGGTGCCCATGTCCAGCAGTCACTGGGCGAGGGGTGGGGGACACCCTGGACATGTCTCCAGTCCATCACAGGGACACATAGAGACACACAGCTGTTTATATTTTAGATTGTACATTTTAGACAGGAAACAGGTGGACAGGTTGTTGTGTGTGCCTCAGGTGGAGGACGGAGATGGATTAACGGATTAGGACCTTGTTCTCAGTAATGAGGGAGTTGCTTCAGTCAGTTGTGGTGAAGAAAGAGCTGAGTTCAAAGCTCTAGATTTACTGGTCCGTCTTTGCTCCAACCCTCACCTGTGGTCATGAGGTTTGATTCATGACCGAAAGAACGAGATCCTGGATACAAACGGCTGAAATGGGTTTCCTTTGTGGAAACTGGGCTCAGCCTTAGAGATAAGGTGACGACGCCGTCATCTGGGGGGAGCTCTGAGTAGAGCTGCTGCTCCTCTGCATCAAAAAGAGTCTGCTGAGGTGGTTCATCTGATCAGGACTACTGGACACCTCCCTTTAGAGGTTTTCCAGGTATGTCCCACAGGTAGGAGGCCCTGGGGAAGACCCAGAACTCTCTGGAAGGATGGTGTATCTTTTCTGGCCTGGGAGCACCTCGTTGTCCCCAGACTGGACTGGAAAGTGTCACTGGGGAGAGGGAGGTCTTTCTCTCCTGGACTTGTTGCCTCGGTGACTCGACGATAAACAAGAGCAGATTTTACATTTTCCCTAAATCTCCCTCACCGGATGTTGTGACTCTCAGCTACTGTCAAATCATTTCCAGCTCTAATTAGTAAAAGTGACTGAGTTGTAGCTTCCAACAGTCAGGTGGACACGGCGGCCATCTTTAAATGGGTTGACTCCACAAGAGTTGTAGATGTTTATCCAACTCTGAGGCTGTTTGGAGACAAAGACCAAAACTTTATCACCTGCTCCTCTTTTCATTCTGAACTGATGACGTTTTTCCCCAATCAAACAACTTTTTTCTCCATAAATCTTTTTTGTTTTAAATCATTAACTAAAATGTGGATCTTCAGTCCAACTGAGGAGGTAACGGTCCAGACCCAGAACCTCTGTGATGGTTTTAGTCCCAAGATGACAATAAAGGTGCCATGTTTCCACCTCTGATCGTGTCAGCATGCTGTTCCTCACATGCAGCTGCAGATCTGAGTTCATGATAAAACTTATCTGTGTTTTCTCAGCGCGCAAATGAAACAATAACTCTGCACGCACGCAGGAGTTAACCAAAGACCCGCCTCTTCCTCCTCCTCCTCCTCCTGAGCGCAGGAGGAACGGGGAGGGTAAAAGGAGGAAGAAGTCAGCTTTCTCCTCCATTGTTCTCGTCCTGGAAGTTTGGGTGCGGGACGCGGCGCTCGGGTCCCGCACGGCGCGCGGTCGTCATGACGGGCTCCGGTCCGAAGCTCGGCGTCCTGCTGCTGGTGGCGGTGCTGCTGCAGACCGTGGTGGTCACCATCACCGTGCTGCACTTCACCACGGCTCTCAACTCGGTAAGGACACCGCGCGCGCGCCACGGCTGCGCTTTTTACGCAGCGGCTGCAGGAGACACCGCGCAGCCTGCTGGAGCCGCTGACGCAACAAATCTGTCATTTGTGCACTTTAAAAGATTAACAGTTGTCAAATGGCTGCTGAAATTGGGTTAGTGCGCTCCTGAACCCACACACGCGCGCGCGCACACACACACGGTTGTTTATCCTGCACAAAGGCCACACACGCGCACACCTCTTACACAGTGCAGATTCTGCGTAACAGCAGAAGAGGTAAAGAGGTGAACTTCAGCTGATAGTTTGTGTCTCACCTGAGCAGAGCAGCTCCTCAGCTGTTTCCTGACATCAATCATTAACTCAGGTGAACTCTCATGTGGGAAATGAAACCTGCACACGTAAAGAACCTGGACACGTGCCAGGACAGGGTCAGGTTTGCATTGTTCTTGTGTCAGAAGATGATGAAGTGAAGCAGCTTGTTGGTTTGTCCTCCACAGATGAAGGAGACGTTCGCCCGGAGCAGTGTCTCGTGCCTCACGGGCTCTGACCTGCAGAGCATCAGGGCTGGCAGAGGAGATCCATGCTGGCAGGTCAGCGAGCAGCTCCACCTGCTCATCGAGAAGGTGAACATCTCGCACACACTCACAGCAGAACCTTCAGAGTGTTCCCTGGTTCTGACCTGCAGACCGACTTTAAACTTTCTGCAGATGCTTCAACTGCGAAACTTTAAAAAATGTCCACAGAAGTTCAAAGTTCTCACTTTTCATTATAAAACTTCACCTCGTATGAAGGTTCTGTCATGCACGGGTCATAATGTTTTTGCACGAGTGTGCTTGTGTCTGTCTGTTAGCAAAATATGTCATGACCCACCAGTCGGATTTGAATGAAACTCTTGGAAACTAATTATTGTTTATGACTGAAAATATTCTTCAAGATGGCCGCCGCAGCTAATCAGTCTTGACCAACATGCAGGTGACGGTAACTCCGTCACTTTGACGGTGGTGGTAGCTGAGAGTCATCCATGACACAGAATCTGAGCACCAACAGGTTTTTCTACAGTTTAGCCCAAACAGCAACTCTGGCGATGCTTTTTTTTTTTTTTTTTTTTTAATCGATGCTTGACTGTTAATTAAAACAAAGTAAAAGACGTAGTTTAAGGAGGAGGTTGGGGTTCTGGTCAGGAGGAGTTTCCTGAACATCAGAGGAAATAAAACGCTGAAATGATCTGAATCAGTCAGACAATGAGCCCCTTCATGTCGGAGATGTGATCCTTCGGGGTCTAATCAGCACAGGAATGCATTCACCTGCTCTGAAACTGCCCCGGACTCGGCGCTGCACATTTTATTTCACAGCCTTTAGTTTCTCCTTCACTCCTGCTCTGACTCTGCTGGTGCATGGACCACGCAGGTGGACCTCCACGCAGGTGGACCTCCACGCAGGTGGACCTCCACGCAGGTGGACCTCCACGCAGGTGGACCTCCATGTTGGGAAGAGCTTTGTGAGCCACAGCGGATTCACATTCCTCTTCTTGAGTAATCCTGGATGACATTTTACTTTAATTATCTGTAAAGTGCATTTGCTGGACTTCTAGCTGAACTAGTTTGGAGCAATTCAATTCAGTTTATTTCTAAAGCGTCAAGTCACAACAGAAGTCTCAGGTTGAACAGAAACGTTCGTATATAAAAATAATAATTTAACATTATTTATCTGAGGAGCTTTGAGTTGAACTCATCTTGAGCAAGCATGAAGGCGACAGTGGAAAGGAAAAACTGGAAGAAACCTTTTAGCAGAACCAGGCTCAGGACAAGCGGCACATCTGCTTCAACCAGCTGGGTTTGAGAAGAACAGATACACAATGGCAAGTCAAGAATCACATGTTAAGATAGAAAAAGTATAAAATGAAAACTATTCAATTTTAACAATTCATTTATGAGGTCAGTTTGTCCTCCAGTAGTCTAATCCTATAGCAGCATAACAAGCCGACCCTAACTATAGGATTTATCATAAAGGAAAGTCTTAAAACTGGACAATGTGTCAGCCTCACGGACAGAAACTGGAAGTTGGTTCCACAAGAGAGGAGCCTGAGAACTGAAAGATCTTCCTCCCATTCTGCTCTTGGAAACTCTAGGAACCACAAGTAAACCTGCAGCCTGAGAGTGACGTGCTCTGTTAGGAAAATATGGAACAATAAGATCTTGATGAGAATAAAGGGACTCTGCTGTGATTCCTAAACATGTTCATGATGATCTAATCGCCACGAACTTTGTCACACCTGAACCCAAGTGTGTCCAGAAGAAAGTATATTTATTTATTTATTTCAGTTTTACGATCGACAGATTTTCCTATAACTCATCCTGTAAAAACTGAAAACGATAATTAAAGTTAAAATTTCCTGCAAGAGAAGCCAACGAACCGGAAGCATCAACGTTTATCTGATACAGGATTCTGGTTTGCTTGTGCTTTTAAAAGCTAAATACTTGTATTTATGAAAAGATGTATTTAATTACTCCGACATATTTCAGCTGCTGGGATGGAAACTTTCTGTCAGTATGAATTAAACAAGTTTTAATTTAATGTTGAGGGATGATGGAAATGTTTTGGTTCAAGCTTGAAGATGATGTTCCACAGTTCAGATGATTTTATATCACAGTCTGTTGGCTTTCAGAGTTTGTGCTCGGGATGACTCTCAGCTGCTGCTGTACCATGTGTTGGTTAAATATCTGTACAAGTTAAATATCTGTACAAGATAAATATCTGTACAAGATAAATATCTGTAAAGATACTGAACTAAGATACTTTTGTGTTTGCAAAGTTTGATCAGCCATCCTGAATTGGATTGGCTCCTCAAGGTAATCGGGTGTAGATGTAGACTTTCATTAAGCTTTATCTAGTGCGTCTTAAGGGTGCATTCACACCAGCCCTGTTTAATCCGCTTTAATCCAACTCTAGACCGTTTGCCTAGAAGGTCTGATTCGTGTGGGGAGGTGTGAATGTGCAGGTGAACCTGGTCCACCTAAAAACCTAGGTCTCAGTTCAGTTGAAGTGAACTCTGGCGCAGTTCGAATGCAGTGTGAATGCAAGCAGACCAGAGACCGCTCCAAAAGCAGGAAGTGGACTACAGCGCAGGGCATTCTGGGTAAATGCAACCAAAACAAACGTGCATTTCTCATACGGAGCCGTCAGCCGCCTTGTGTGAAAAACGTTCTCCGTGGTCTTCTGCCTCATCTTCCGCTCATGCTGAGTCCGTTGTGGAAAAACGACGAAACAGAACTCCTAAAACCACTAAAATTTGACGCCACTCCGTTTGTATTTCCAGAAGTAAGTTGCCCTCAGCGTCTTCTACTGAGGTTTACGTGTCGTTTCCTTCAGTGGTTCTTGGTGCAGCGCCACCACAGGCGAGGGGGGGAACAGGAACAGGTTGGCTCCACTGACTCGGTGCAGTGTGACTGAACTGCACCAGCTGAAATGTAACAAATGTTCTGAAGAGTGGTCCCTAATGGAACTGAGTCTACCAAAGATATTTTACTAACACTACAGAATAATAAACACACACAGGTAGGCAAAACCATTGTCTCCTGTTTGGTGTCTTTCAGTAAAGGTTGCACATAAAACAGATGAGTTTTGAACTTGCGAGTTACTTAATTAGTAAAACGTGTGTGTGTGTGTGTACAGTGTGTGTGTGTGGAGCAGGACGGTGTGTAACATCAACCCTTCCTCCATTTCTGTACACTCCTTTGTTCCACTGCAGGGTCACAGGAAACGGGGGTCACCCTGGACAAGGGACGAGTCCATCTCATGCCCATCGAGACAACAAGTCAAAATAACTTGACTTCAAATTAAAAACTCAACAAACTGTAGATATTTTTGGACCGTTCCATCCAGAGCCGAACGTTTGTCCTGAAATTCAATCCCATGCTTTTGAACTCTGGATTTAAAACATTTCTTAGGTTAAACCACGTTTGTGTGTGAGAGCTGACAGAAAACAGCAGAAGTCTTCTCCAAACTCTTGGTTGCAGCTAAATTAAGATCAAGTGTTTCTTAGTAAAAAAACAAACATCTCCTTGAGCTTGTGCAACATCTGCTGGCAGCCAATAAAAACTGCTTTTTCTCTTTGTTGGCTAATGTTCAGAAACCACCTTTAAAATGTACGCTGCTTGGTTCTTTCCTCGCATTCTTTTATAAGACATCTTTAATAAAAAGTTTGGAGCGAACTCCAAACTGAAAGCAGCTTGACGGCAAAACTGGTTTTCATCAGTTCGGCTGCAGTCGCAGATTAAGTGGAGGAACGTCAGACATGAGGAAGAAAAGATCAATTTACAGGAAAGGATCTGCTGCCCGCCTCAACTTGAAGGCTTCTTGTTATTCGCCCGAGGACACGTCCTGGCGCTGATATCGGCACATTTTCAGGGTCAAAGTCAAATAACTGCTCTACAGGAATGAGCAGACTCTTCTCTGCAGATAAAGTTTTTAACCGAGACTTTTATTTATGCACATTTCAGCTTGTTCTTCGTTTAGTCTGCCTCAAAGAGACATAAGAAAAATAAAATCCTTAGCTGAAGTGAGTGTTGTGTTTTAGTAACCATTAATCAGGCACTGGTGTGATTCTGAGTAATGGTTTGCATCTGCTCCCCCTGCAGTCTCTGTCTCAGCGTTACCAGAGGAGGATTACATCAGCAGTGAAAGGTGAGAAACCTCACGACAAAGAAATGAAGCTACAGTCACGAGAGAAACGAAGACTGCGTGGGTCAGAACAAAGAGGAAAATCTCCTCCGCTCTTCAAATGAGGTTAAAACACCTGTTGCTGTTTATTTCAACAAAATGTAGAAGCAGTCTGGAAAACCAGATCCTTCCTCAAGACGGGTGCTGCTGATCAGACGTATCGATCTGATCATCTGATCACCTCTATAAAAGCAGAGGTGTGTTAACGATGCCAAGGAGGAAAAAGAACAGCAATGGCCTTAGAGACGTAACTGTCGCTGCCCGTCGATCAGGGAAGGGTTAAAGGTCGTTTCCAAACTATTAGGAGTTCATCGTTCGACACAAAATTCACAAGAAAATTTTAAGACCACTGCCAATCTTCTCAGGAGTGGACATCACAGCAAATTCACCCCGAAGGTCAGACTGTGCAATGTTGTGCAATTTCCAGTTCGCAGGTTAAAGATTCTAGTTCAGAAAAAAGACAAGTTGGAGTTGATTGGAAGCGTTGCAGGAGAAAACTTCCTCTTGAAAAAATAAATAAATAAAAACATGGCGGCACGACTTTGAATCGTAAAGTTTCATCTGAATTCATCCCACGTCTTCTGGAAGTGACGGGTGAGACCAACGGCAGATTTCCCCATAACACCAGGGCCATGTTTGGTGAAAACCAAACAGAACATCAGCTCAAACGCCTGCAGTCAGCACGGTGGTGGGGGGTGATGATTATGGCTCGTTTTACTGTCGGAGGACTCGGGCACTTTGGAGTCATTGACTTGATCAAGAACTCTTCTGTAAACCAAAGTATTCTCCAGTCACATGTGAGGCCATGTGTCCAACAGCTTGGACTGGGTCATGATGCCACAGGACCATGATCCCAAACAGCAGCTGATCTACAACAGAACGGCTGAAGACAATCAGGATGTTGTCAAAGTCCAGACCGAGGTCTGACTGAAGTTCTGTGGTTAGACCTTAAGAGAGCTGTGCAGAACTTGTCTGCAATCAACTGCAGCAACGCTGTAAAGAAGAGTGGGCTAAAATGCCTCAGCAATGGTGTGAAAAACTGAGAAAGTCATTTATAAAATGATTTAAAGAATGTCCTGAACTTGTTGTGATCTAATCCACAGGTCACATCCTGTGACACGTACAGCAGAAAGAATGTGTTGTCCATTGTCTGAAATAATCACCCACTAAGTCATGGTAATGGAGGAAATTGTTCATTGTCCTCTCTTTGTGTCAGATGAAGTGTCTCGTGTGTTGCCCTCAGTTGTGATGGATGACAGGGCTTCACCTCGCCCCAAAGTCGCCGCTCATGTGACAGGAAGCTTCGTGCCCAAACCGGAACAAGAGTCCACAGGTGAGAACCTCTTAAACTGATGGCTCAGATTAATTTGTGTTGTTGTTGACAAGCTGCTTGTGTTCTGTGTGTCCCTCGTTCATCGGGGGGGTTACGTCCCAGACACCCCCATAAGTGAAAGATCATCAAGTAGGAACACTAAATAAATTTTAGTATTTATATGTTTTAAGGCTTTATAAACTCCTCCCACACTCTTGCAATGTTCTAAACTCTTAAACCTGCATGATTTTATATGTACTGAAACAAAACCATCAGTGGTCCAGATCGAGTCCAAATCGGATGAATAAAGTCCTGGTGAGCTCCGGAGAAAACACCGGACCTCCAAGCAACGCCTCCCCTCTCGAGAGGCCTCATGGACCAGCAAGCAGCACTCGGATTGACCGATGAGGCTGGAAGTCTGGTTCTGGTCCAATTCCCAGTTGGTTCTGTACGGCTCTCTGCGTCCACGGAGCGCTGAAGTCATTATGAATAAGGACCAAACTTTTGAGTCTGGTTTGGATCAGATCAAAATTTTCCCTCCCATTTGGCAGAAAGCAGTGGCAGAAGCACTGTTGGCTTCTGGGAAATGTAGTCCTTTTGACTGGCAATACAATATAGTCTTAAGAGAAAACTACAAAATGGCAGCACATGTCTGAAGTATTTTTTCGTAAACTTTACTGTATTCCATCTTGTACCAATCACATGAGTAATATTAAAGTTGACGATCATATGTCATGTACAATCTTACTTTGAAAAACCGTGAAAGAGCGAGTCCACAAAAGTCGAACTGCGAAGTAGCGAGGGACTGTAGTTCAGTTGGTTTGGCCATGTTGTCAATGACCACAGTCGTTAGTTACATTTGAAAATAATTTCCTTTATTTGCCTCAGGTGGAGGAGTTCAAGTATCAGTGTCTTGTTCAAGAGAGATGGTGGGATGGAGTTGGAGATGGATCGATGGATTGAAGCCTCGTCCTCAGTAATGAGGGTGTTGCTTCAGTCAGTCATGGTGAAGAAAGAGCTGCGTTAAAAGGCAAAGCTCCAGATTTACTGGTCTGTCTACATTCCAACCTTCATGTATGGTCATCAGGTTTGGATCATGACCAGTAGAACGAGATCACGAATACAAATGGCCAAAATGGGTTTCCCTCGCAGGGTGGCTGACCTCAGCCTTAGAGATGGGATGAGGAGCTCCTTCATCCTGAGGGAGCTCGGAGCAGAGCTGCTGCTCCTCATCGAAATGAGTCAGTTGAGGTGATTCAGGCATCATGTCTCTCGAATGCCTCCCTTTAGACGTTTTCTGGGCACGTCCCACTGGTAGGAGGCCCCGGGGAAGACCCAGAACTCTGGAGGGGTTGTATACTGGCCTGGGAACACTTTGGGGTTTCCAGCAGGAGCTGGAAAGTGTTGCTGGGGAGAATAGAGTTGCATTCGGCCCAAAAAATCAAATCCGGCCCGCAGCCATCATTTCTGAACCCAACCCGACCTGACAAATTAACAGTAATTAAATTACAGATCCTAACCCCCCCCCCCCCCCCCAACATTTTTAATTGGTTATTAACGATCGGGGACGCATGGCTGAATAAAAGGTGCAGAAGATCAGAGCTGAGGGGTGTTTGTACAGTCATGGCCATCAAAACACGTTAAATCCCTGCTTCTGCCTGCATTCTGCATTATTCAGACATGGACCCCGCTCTGACATGTCTGCTTTGTGATCTCACTTGTTTGGGTCGTCGGCTGCGCGTGTCCACTGAGTGCAGCGTCAGAATGAACATCCATTTGGGCGATGGATCACTTCCTGGCAGCATAGTCCCATCTGAAGCTTAACTGAACTTTTGACCTCTTTCAGGGCTGGTCAGCTCGCGGTGAAATGGCCGCGTGCAGCTGGTGATGGTATGGCAAGCCATGTTGCCATATAGTTTGGATCGTGGCTGATCCTGACCCAATCAAAAGCTCGACACCGGCCAGCCCCAAATTCGGGTCGGGGTAGGGTCAGGCTTCGGGCCCAGGTTAGAAATGACATGTCTAGGAGAGGGAGGTCTGGGTTTCTCTCCTGGACCTGTTCCCTCCACAATCTGATTACAGATGAGCAGTAGAAGAAGATGCATAAACATGTGGTCTTTATAAAGTAAGTAATATATGTAGTAGGATTATTTGACCTTTACGATGAATATGCCATATGAAGCTTTACAGCCTTAACAATACGCACTCACTGTTTTTATCTGTTCTTCTAATCTGTTCTCAACTGACAGACAAATGTGTTTAGAAGCTTATCAGACATAACCAAAAATGTCCATGCTCAATAATCCAGGTATCCAACAATTTTCAGTCAGGTCATCTGGACAGTTTTTTTTTCCTGAAACGTTTCACCTTCCATCCAGAAGGCTTCATCAGTCAAGGAAACGCACAGCACAAAACTGATTCTTCCCACAAACGGCTTACTCCAAAGTGGAACAAACCAGTTATGTTGGTGCTAAGATGGTCTCTTTGGCACGCCCCCTCCTCTGGAGCCAGCCCTCTTCCTCATTGACAGTCGTGTCAAACTGGTTCAAAACCAACAAAGTCCATGCTCAATACTCCAGATATACAATCCAACAATTTTCAGTCGGGTCATCTGGACGGTTTCTTTTTTGTTTTGCTGAAACATTTACTTATTGTGGATTATACCTGGATCATTGAGCATGGACATCTTTGGTTTTGAACCAGTTTGATACGACTGTAGACGAGGGAGAGGGCGTGCCAAAGACATCATCTTAACACCAACATAACTGGTTTGTTCCACTTTGGAGTAAGCTGTTTGTGGGAAGAATCAGTTTTGTGTTGTGCGTTTCCTTGACTGATGAAGCCTTCTGGCTGGAAGGTGAAACGTTTTCAGGAGGAAAAAAAAAACTATCCAGATGACTTGACTGAAAATTGTTGGCTTATCAGACATGTTTTACTGCAATGATTAATTTATGTTGGTGGGATTTTACAATTGTGGGACGTTACTTAATGCGACATATTAAATTTGGTCAGCACAATCTGAAAGTTGATAAAAGTCTGCACTTCCTCCCCATCGGTTCAGGGGTTCATGGTTGGAAGGAGAGTTAAGCAGCATAAATCAGCACTGGTTTGTGTTTTTTGTGGTACTGGTTCATGCTGTTTTCTCACTTTTAGTTTGCTTAGTTTTAGGAAATGATCCGATACATCTTGGTCGTCTTATTTTTACATCACAGATAAATGATTAAAGTTATAATTAGGGATGGGGTCGATCAGATCCAGTATCAGTATCGGCCTCCGATACCAGCATAATTTACGTATCGGATTTTCCGATCCTCCTGCCGATATTTCCGATCCATGATGCAAGTTGGCTTCAAACTATGGAATGGATTTCCTGAACCGAGGTGTGTCTCATGAGCCCAGAGTAATAAGACCCGCCTCACATTCAGGAAATCCAGTTCATAGTTTGCAGCAGTTAAAACGTGAGGACTGAGTTAGCAGCACTGTGGCTAACAGCTAACAAACTTTTCATCTAAACATGTTTGCTGTGTGGAAGTATTTTACACTAAACACCACAAAACAAGACAGCAACGTGCAATGTCTGCAGAGCCATAGCGCCGCATTAAACCGCGGTAAAGTTAGTTTTACGTTGGACATTTGAGCTCTGTGGCTTCAGCGGGGCGCTGCTCTTTGCTCAACCCGAAACAGCCAACTCGACCCCGGCCAGCCGCGTCCAATCCGCCCGTCTCTGAGGAGGGACAGACTGAGCGCGGCTGCCCCAAATCAGACTGCCTGCTTCGGACTGAACAAGAAGAAGACATCGCTGAAACCACGGAGCTCAAATGTTTAATGAGATGTTGCTAAACTTCATCATAATTAATGACCAAACACTATCAGTTGTAGAAAACGAAGGATTTCACAGCTTGATACTTGCAGCCAAGATATAGTTTACCCTCCAGGAGATATTTATCAGTAGAACAGTAGACAATCATAAAAAAAACATTATTTGAAAATTATATTAAAAACAAAAACAGCTACATTATAAAGTGATGTAAAATAGGAACATGTCTGTTGGTTTATGCATGAACTTAGCAGATGTTTGAAGCCATTTAACATTTTATTTAATTAATTTATTCATTCATTTAAAAGAAACAATAAAAAAACATCAAAAAGAAAAAATTGAATGAAAAGAGTGCAGAAAGAAGAAAACAATTATTATATCTGCCCCTTATTTAAAAACATATAAAATGACTTTAAACAATCACTTAAATTAATCACTTTAATATCCACTTTAAAACTAGGAATAAAAAGAAACCTGTTTTGTGTTAGCAGAATTTAATTCTAACTTTAAAACTTATCCAGCATTAATAAAACTTACCTCAAGTTGTCTTTTTGGACATGCATGCATATATTTGTACAAATTGTACTTGAGAGGAGATTATTACAGCCTCATATAAAATCAATGATGATCATGATATCAGAACTGGATCAGTATTGGCCGATATTTAGATTTAGGTATCGGGATCGGAAGTAAAAAAAGTGGATCGTGCATCCCTAGTTATAATTAAGGGTTTACCTGGAGCCAGGTTGCAGTTTGATTGGCGGCGTCCTTGTGCTGCAGAAATGCTCTAAAATGTAATGTGTGAAATGTGCTAACAATTTCTAGAGTTTGATAGATGTTTTTTTGAGGAAAACATCAGTCTAGGTAATGTTTTTGAACAAATGAGAATAAATGCAGTGACTTCTAGTGGTAAATCTGCAAATCACAGTCAACTGAATTAAATCTAGATTTAAAGTCCGTACCTCGTTGGGCTGCAACCGATGGCTATAGTTTGTAAATAACATTCACAAGAAGCCTCCCAAAACTTTAGGAACGTGTGCGGTGGACCTCAGTTTCTTGCGAGTCACAGAGACGTGTGCTTCTGTCACTTAAACGTCTTGTTCAAAAAGTTTGTGCCAGATTTTCTACAAATCGTTGCAGGTGACAAACACATGCCCGTTTAAAAAAAAGTTTTGTAAGCTCAATCATCCAGGTAGATGACGACAAAAAGGTTAAATCGTGTCATATGGACCAGTTTCTTTAAGTGAGAAACAGTTCGTCCCCCATCCAGATGACTTAGTCAGTCTGCGACCTGCCAACCAGATCTGTCCCATAAGTAGCCTTCATTGCTGAGTTTCAAGCCAACCTCCTGTTGGACTTTCAAAAGTAGACTTGACACGTGCAAACGGAGCGCACCCATCCAAAACGATCATCATGCACAACAATCAAATGTGTTGGACCACACGATGACACGACTGAAGAATGCATCTAATGTTCAGGTCTAAAAATGATGCTGCTTATCTATATTAATAATAATTTTTAATAAGTCATTTCTGTAGATTGATTTCTACACGAGGGAGCTGCTGCCAGTAGGAACAAAGTGGGTTGATGAGGGGAAGATGGAAACCCAACTCTTGTGCGCAGCCTAGAACACGCAGCGCTGGAAGCTGTGCACAAACAGGAAGTTTATTTTCTAGAACGAGCCGAGTGAAACGCTGCACGTCTTGCTGCTCACTGGAATCCAAACGCTCCACGCTCTGAATGCAACGAGCTGGTTTCTGGTTATCGGTGGTCAAAATGAGATGCCTCCGTTGCTGCCAGTCTGTGCAGTTCGACACTTAATGCATGATGACGTATTAACGATGACATGAGCCGGTACATTTGTTGGTTGAAGTTTAAGTAAAACGTTGGAAACACAGGTTTTGTCTGATCGTTGAACTCGAACGGTCGATGTTTGTCACGTCCTGACTGGATTATAACTCTTCAGTTCCAGTCTCTGCCTGGCGACGAGTTCAGGGCCAGAAGATCTTGTGGTGGGAGGGGGAAAAGGGGCTGGCGTTCCTTCAGGATGTCCAGCTGCTGGACGGAGAGCTGGTCGTGTCGCAGCCGGGCCTCTATTACATCTACGCCCAGACGTACTTCAGGCACACCCACTCCCTGGAGGAGGAGGAGGGGGGAGAGGAGGGGGAGGACAGGGGGAAGCCTCTGCTGCAGTACGTTTATAAAAAGGTGAGGGATGCAGCTCTTGTTCTCGTCACATCGTGATGGTTTGGCATCAGATGCCATCGTGTGTTGTTCTTGCTGACCCAGCATTCCAGCTGTGGCATTTGAAGAAACGTTTACATCAACCTGAATGTGATTCTGATTTACCACCCGAAACACCGCTGCTAGAACCAAACCGAGCCTGTGGGGGTCACGTGAGTCCCTGCGTGTGCTCTGCAGACTGATCGCTCTCGTCCGTACGTCTCGAGTTGTTCCAGCTCGTCAGATGTGCGACAGTGAACATGTGCTGTTACGCAACATCTCCAACATCTGGGCCGCCTTAAAGGATCAAGGGGTAAAACAAAACCCCATCAATAATGCTTGACGTTCCTCGCTAATGAAAATATCTGTCCAGCACAAAGGAGTTCAGGTGGTTTAAGTTTAATGCAAATAAGTGATGAAATGAGTTTCTTTTAAAACTTCCCAAGTTGAACATTAGATCTGGACGTGACCAGGTGTTCCAGACACGTCAAAACACGAGAGTCTGAACCCTGTCTCACTTTCCTGAAGCAGACTGGTTTGAAACATTTTGTCGATGTTCTCCCCGATCACGTGACTGATGATGTTTGAGCTTCGTGGTCACAACGAGACACCGAAGGTGACGTGGTTGATTTATTTAAAATAATTACTCCGGAGTCCAGGATTCAAGTTTGATGCAACTTCAGTTGTTTTCGAGACGTGAAACGTGCCGTCTCCCTGGATTCAGTTCAGTTTACTGTTTCTATAGCTCCAAGTCACAACAGAAGTCGCCTCAGGTCACTGAACAGAAACATTCACATTTAAAAATAATTAACA